GTTATCCGACACCGACTAACGTTGACGAGGTCCGAAGATTCGTGGCCTTCGCTAACTATTATAGACGATTTATTTTACATTTCGCTGAAATTGCACATCCACTAAATAGACTTTGTAAAAAGAATGTTGCATTTAATTGGACAGCTGATTGTGACGAAGCATTCAAAAAATTAAAATCTGCTTTAATAAAACCCCCAGTTTTGGATTATCCCGATTTTTCTGAAAATAATATTTTTAAATTGCAGACTGATGCCTCAAGAACAGGTTTAGGTGCAATATTATCCAATGGGAATGATAGAGTTATTGCATACGCAAGTAGAAGTTTAAAGCCCGCTGAGACGCGATATCCGATTATAGACTTGGAGCTATTAGCCATAGTTTGGGCAGTGAGGCATTTTCGACCTTATTTATATGGTAGGAAATTCCAAATTCTAACCGATCACAAGCCTCTTATTTATTTATTTTCTATGACAGATCCTTCCAGTAGGCAAACTAAATTTCGTTTATATTTAGAGGAATATGATTTTGAGATAGGCTATGTCCCAGGACGACACAACGCGGCTGCAGACGCATTGAGTCGCATCCCGGTGACATCGGATGATTTAAAAAATATGCGTGAACACTTAGTATCAGTACTTACTAGAGCACAAACAAAAAAAAATAGTCGTAATAAAAACTGTGACTTAGAGAATTATAGTAAGCCTGAAAATTTGCATAGTCATGGGACTGATCACCCCTTGGCCGTGGAAATTCTCAAGCCACCACCGGATATTATCGAATTATGTTTTAGTCACTCGGTCAAATATGACGGAAACGACGAAGTTTTTACGTCCTCAAGTGGAAATTGTGTATATGTACCAAAGCGGTCAATAATTTATCTAAATGCTCGATCGCTATCAGCTGTAGAAGCGTTAGCGAGAGATTTAGAGAGTTTTTGTAGTAAGTTAAATATCTTAGAATTGCTTATTATCAAAAATAAAATATATGAAGGACATATTAAGTTACTTGCAAGTACAATTAAAAAACTAAAGTTGAGTCGGCCGCGATTATTGATAACTAAAGATGTTAAGCGTATCAGAAATGAGGACGAAAAGATAGTTATATTAAATGACTTCCACTTGTTGCCCACCAGTGGGCATGCTGGGATAAATAGAATGCTAAACAATATTAAAAAATACTATTTTTGGCCAGGCATTACAAAGGATGTCGTTAATTATGTCAATAAATGTAAGCTTTGTCAAATAAATAAATACACCAATAGATACATTAAGGAACCTATGTCATTAACGACTACCCCTAATTCGTCTTTCGAAAGAATTAGTTTAGATATAATGGGACCTTTACAAGTTGACGATTACAATCATAGGTACATACTAACTCTACAGTGCGACCTAACAAAGTTCGTTGAAGCCTATCCCTTGCAGCGCAAAGACGCCGAATCGGTAGCGAGAGCTTTTGTAAATAATTTTATCCTCAGATATGGAATCCCAAAAGAAATAATTACAGACCAGGGCACAGAATTTCTTAACGAAATTATGACCGAAATATGTAGCTTATTAGGTATTAAAAAATTACAGTCCACTGCATATCACCATGAAACTATGGGATCGTTAGAAAATACTCACAAACATCTCGGCACTTTTCTAAGAATACAATGTGAGAGTCACAAAAGCAATTGGAGTAGTTGGGTTCCGTACTGGTGTTTCTCATTCAACACCTCGGTACACACGCAGACAAAATATACTCCCTACGAGCTAGTGTTTGGAAAAAATTGTATTTTACCTAGTAACTTAAGTGACTCTGTAACTCCCTTATATAACTATGATGACTATCCTAAGGAACTTCGACATAGACTACAAAGAGCACTGTGTGATGCGCGAAAAAATTTATTAACTAATAAATTATGTAGAAAAAATACATTTGATAAAAATAGCTACCCGATATCATATAAAAAAGGAGATTTAATTTTGGTAAAAATCAAATAAGAGATAAGTTAGATAGAGTGTATAACGGCCCTTATGAAGTAATAGAGGAATTGTCACCTAATGTAAAGATATTAAAAAATAATAGAGAGTACGTAGTACATAAGAATAATACGAAACTTTATAATGATAATATTTAGCTGAATGTATGTGGTTGAAAAAAAAAATGTAACACTTTTTTTTTCTTTTGAGGAGAGGGGTGTAATGGAGATTTTTGGGGGGCGTGTGATAGTATGAAAATAATTTAATAAATATGTATTAATAATACAACGCAACATTGAATGACACGAAAGTAGGCCACGTGAAATGCTGATGTTTTGTAATAATATTGTGTGTTATATTTTATAAGTGTGTGTGTGTGTAACTACGTAGTGCACTAATATTATAAATAAGTATGTTTTGTACCATTAAGCCTTCTTCAATAAATGGACACCAACCTATCTACGTCTTTGTATTTATTATAACCTGCCGCCATCACCCAACATACCACAACAGCATCTGACACAGATCGAATTCCAGACATGTTCGCGACCTATTTTTCTTCTGTCTATGAAATTGATGAGGATGACTTAAGCAAGTATTCTCATGCACCAGATTCAACAAATACGATAGATGTACTCCATCCTATTCAGTTCAATCCACACGAAGTTGCGAAAAGACTGAAGAAAATCGATACCACAAAGGGTGTCGGGCCTGACAACGTCCACCCCATCTACCTGGTAAAATGTGCAAGCGCATTGGCTTTACCATTATGTATACTATTCAATACATCTTTAAAAACGGGCATATTTCCAGATGAATGGAAACTAGCAAGAGTTGTGCCGCTACATAAGAATGGCGAAAAGAAATATGTTTCCAACTACCGACCAATAACAATTCTTTCAACAATGTCAAAGATTTTTGAATCAATGGTACATGGTATTATCTATGGACATATACAAAAATACATCATCACAGAGCAACATGGTTTTATGGCAAAGAGATGTACGAACACGAATTTGGTACTTTTTACGTCTAATTTAATGGAAACCATAGATCAGGGATTGCAGGTGGACGCAGTATATATGGACTTTTCGAAAGCGTTTGACAAAGTAAATCACAAAATATTGCTGGACAAGCTTTATTCGTTCGGGATAACGGGTACTATGTTGGATTGGTGTCGTTCCTACCTTACAAGACGCCCACTAAGAGTGGTGGTGGACAATGAAAGGTCTGAACCTTTTTTTGCAACTTCAGGTGTTCCACAAGGCTCTGTTCTGGGTCCAATGTTTTTCAACGTTTTTATCAATGATATTACAACGGGTGTTAAACATAGTGAAGTATACCTATTCGCTGATGATCTGAAGTTGACAAAGGGAATTTCATGTACGGACGACTCAGTATACTTACAGGAAGACATTGACAGCCTCCAAGAATGGTGCAATAACAATAAAATGCTCTTTAATATTTCAAAGTGCCACCATATAAAGTTTACCAGGAAACATAATAAACATATAACTACATATACAATAGCGGGTGAGAGAATCAAAGAAGTTACTACCATCAGAGACCTCGGTGTCATAATTGATTCAAAATTGAGTTTTTCGGATCACATTGATAAAATAGTAAAGGAGGCAAATAAATCACTAGGATTTATTCTTCGAAATACAAAGAACTTCAAAAAACCTTCATCTGTCATTCTGCTTTATAATAGTTACGTGAGAAGTAAGTTAGAATACTGCAGTACGGTCTGGTGCCCTGATTACAAGGTTCGTATAAACCGGATTGAGAGAGTACAGAAAAAACTACTTCGTAGCTTAGCTTACCGCTTTAGGACTCCCAGAAAACATAGATCGTATACAGAGAGATTAAGATATTTTGGCCTGAATCCGCTCTCTATACGTCGTTGCCACCTTGATATGTCCTTCCTGTACAAACTCCTGAATAATATTATAGATAGTCCTGTACTGGTCAGTAATTTCGTTTACTATGTTCCTTCAAGATTACCGAGATACCCCTGTGGATTGTTCAGGAGCAGATTCTGTCGAACGAGGATGGGTGGCTGTGCATCGGTCGTCCGCTTGGCTCGTCTATACAACGATATCGCCAAAGAGTTGCCAGAGCTAGATATCCATTTTCAGAGCTATTCTGAGTTTATGACACTGCTTAAAAGGGCTGACGCCCTTTAGCCGCTTATGCTTGCTTATGCTTGTAGTTTGTGCTTCCATTTTTTTTATGCTGTTTTTATGTATTTGTGTGCCTGCTTATTTTGTGTGTGTGTTTTTTTTTAACGCATGCTGTGGCTACCTTAATTGTAAGTGCAGTAAGCTATAAGCAATTTGAGCTTTGTTTGTACCAAGAACAGCTGTAACTTATGTTGGTGGCCCTTATAATAAATAAATAAATAAATAAATACAGATTTTTTTTATAAATAAATATTTCGAAATAAACCTAAGGTAAGACAAATATAATAAAAATAGCTGGTAACAAATAAAGCCGCGGGCGTCTGAAGGCCTTTTACGTGTTCACATTTTTATAGGTTTCACTTCTATCGCATGAGAACAGCACATGTCCGTTTTTTTATTAATTTATATAAAAACTAGTGGCCGCCCTCGCTTCGCTTCGGGGTAGAATTGATCAAAATCCTTTCTTAGCGGATGCCTATGTCATAACATCTACCTGCATGCCAAATTTCAGCCCGATCCGTCCAGTGGTTTGGGCTGTGCGTTAATAGATCACTATGTCAGTCAGTCACCTTTGAGTTTTATATATATAGATAAGTAATGTTCAGTGAGCAAATTTTTAAAAAATATCGCAAAATCTGCAACGTGCTCCGTATCGCACTACTTTTTTCACAACATGAATAAAAAAACAGCTTGTTAACAATGAATTTCCATAGACTTTTCCGGCCCGCTTAGCGCATTAACAATGGATTTCCATACACTTTTCCAGCCCGCTTAGTAGTACTACACTACTTAGTAGTAAAAAGGAAAGCACTTTTCGATCAGGAATAGTATAAACATAGTTTCTTTCACCCAGGCTGAAGTAGATGAGGACAAAGTGCCAGACTTCTACAGTGCAGAACCTGTGAAGCTAGCTCACCCTAACCCAGCTTTGGTCTCTCAAGCAGCAGATTTATTGGCGAAAGCTGAGCGTCCTCTAATAATAGTGGGCAAAGGATCGGCATATGGACACGCAGAAGTAGCCATTACTAACTTAGTGGAAAAAACCAAGATCCCGTTCCTGCCTACACCAATGGGTAAGTGCATAACCATTGCCTTGTTATTTTCCCGATCTTGTTTGCTCAAACATCTTTGTTCACATCTGACGGCACCATAACTACAAACACAAAAAATAATCCCGCTAAGAATATCTCATCTTTTTTTCACGATTCCGCCACTATCACTATGATCCACCACGTGAGGTCCCGATCAGATAAACATTCTGCCTACCCGAATGAATGTAAGTTCAGGACGGTTGCCCCCTCTAGGAAAAATTAACCTAACTACACCCATGAAGCAAGGAGCTCGGCCACCCATCCTATAACCGTAAAGTTGACTAACACTATACTCGACACCCATCATCCTTAAACCAATGGGTTGATTAAAGGGGACTTTTCTCAAACCGCCTTATCACAAAACGTTAACTAAAGTTAAACCTGGTTTAAAACAGATGCTGTCGCGTTTGCTAAAAAGAAGACAAAAACAGCATTAGGTTTGAACCAGGACTAACTTTAGTCCGCGTTTTAGAATAAGGCAGATATCGTTTATTATATGTCAGGCAAAGGTGTGGTACCAGACGAGTCTCAGTACTGCGTATCGACGGCCCGTACGCAAGCCTTACTGAAGGCGGACGTGATCTTACTGTTGGGCGCTCGCCTCAACTGGATGCTGCACTTCGGACAAACGCCCAGATACGCGCCTGACGTCAAAATCATCCAGGTGGATGAAACAAGTTTTTCAACGGATTTAAAGAACTATATAGACGATTCACGTCCTTTTTAGGCTGCGTCGTCAAGAATACTTATTCATCTTTCGTCATGAATATACATAATACGTCAAGAATACTTGACGACGCATCCTAAAAAGGATGCGAAACTTTGAGATCTGTATAAAAGTAATAAAAAAGCATTTTAAACCCGTTGAAAAACTTGATTCATTTATTTATTGAGTTGTGTGCGCGAAAACTTAAAAAACAAATGAAGGGCTATGAGGAAAAATATGCTAAGTCACATTAATAAAATTGTACAGTACAAGCAATTAAAGTTACGACTGCAATTTATGACTGATTCAGAATATCTTTAATAAACAAGCACTTGATTATAAAAGTAAATTTAATAGAACAACAAAAAATAACTGATATTTCATTAAAATACCCTAACAGTCTAGGAAAGAAGTAGGTAAAAAAATTAAGACAACTAGTTTTACCCTTTTTGTGATAGCCATAAGATAAAATGAGTATATTTGTGGCCATAGATTTGAAAAAATCAATTTAAGAAAAAATGTACTAAGCATGTTTTCCCCTTAGCCCTATAGATATCATCCAGGTGGCTAAATTTTGCGACTTTCAATAAAGAATACCAACTATTCTTGCATATTGAGCCTTATTCCATAAAGGTTAACTACATAATATCATGATATAGAAGACATTTTTGGCTTGAAATTGATTTTGAATATTTTCATAGATTTATTATTATATAGATATGCAATGCAAAAGAGAAAGATATAGTATTTGAGTATGTTAGAGCGCTATAGATATAAGAGACGATTCACGTACACGCTAGAGTCCGGTAGTAACCTTACTCAAGTGCACAAAATAGATCAAGACATTCAAAATTAAGGTATTTTGCTTCAATACATGAATAGAATAAGGAATTAGTGCATGGCGCAGCACAATTATTATTCCTCACATGCACATCTTACACATATTACTGCAATCAGATTACGGTCACGTATAATACATCTATATATTTATATTGTACTGTAATCTTGTTTTTGAAGAATCATTAAGTAATATTATTTTGTAATCATGATATGATAAACAACGTCATCTCATCAACCATTAAAACCAAAATTAAAATCTTGGTATTGTACCGCAAATGTTAGATATAATATGAGAATAAGCCGTTTATATTTTTTCACAAAAAATCATAATGCAGAGAATAGCAATAACACTATTGAAATTACCTTCATCCAGGTGGATATTAGCCCAGAAGAGTTCCACAATAGCATTAAATCCGAAGTGCCGGTGCATTCAGACATCAAACCTTTCGTTGAGGCCCTCTCACGTAATCTGGAAAAAAAGAAATTCTCGTTGCAAGTCGCTACCAATAAATGGTGGCAAACACTACAGCTCAAACAGAAAGCTAACATCGAGTTTGTTGAGGTTAGTAGATTCAAATGTGATATTTACTTAATTATGTGATTTATAAAACGAAGAGTATCCCCTCGTCTGTGTAACTCTCTGTGTAGCCATCTACATTATTTTCACGGCCGGAAAATCAAAAATAACGGCCCATTTTCCTCTTAATATTAGAGTTCTACTGTACACTCAGGCTTCATTTATATATATTATAAAAAATACAGTAACAGAATAATATTGATTTGCGTTTGAACAGGTTAGGTTAATAGAAGTTGTATTTAATTTGTCTATAAATATTTAGGCTCAAGCTAACGACAAGAGCGTCCCGTTGAATTACTATGCAGTTTTCAAGGCCGTACAAGCAAATATTCCCCGGGACTCTATAATTGTGAGCGAAGGCGCCAACACTATGGACATCGGCCGCGGAATTCTTCTCAATAACCGACCGAGACATCGTCTTGACGCTGGCACGTTCGGCACTATGGGGGTGAGCAAATATAGCACTTGTATCAATCAAATTAACGGTCATATTCTCTTGCATCAGCATTATCTCAATATCAGAATGTACGGATCTCGATAATTGATTATTCACTCACAGATTTTGATGCCGAGTTGTATATTACAAAAATTGTAAAATAATACTTTTAACAAAAAAAAACCTAAAAAGTAAAAAAAAAACTATCGTTACTTAAATTAATATTTGGAGTTGGTGCCGGGAACTTAGATCTATCAGACGTGCAGTGCACAAACTTCAAATATTAATTTTACTAAAGATTAAAAATGTTTATAATTTTGTTACTTTTGTTTTAGTACCTAGTAAATAGCTTCTATGTTGCGGTGGCCATGCTATTGATTTATTGTATTTAGCAAGACCACAGTAAAATAACATAACTTTTTGGTAGTGTGTTTCTGTGGGTAAGGTTTTAAGGCTCCATGTTGTAGGGGATAGGGTCAGGGTAGGCAACGACGCGAGTGATAGTTTGGTATCATAAGCGTCTATAGGCTTTGGTGGCCATCAAGCGGGCCATATGCTTGTTTGTCACCCTTTTAACATAAATATATATACACACATCAAAAGTGTCTAGGGATCGACATATATTTTTGCAATAACTTTTCTCCTGATTGATATTAATTAAAATTTTCTTTAAGGATTCATCAAATAAAGTGTTTTCGTTTGTCACAGTAACGATAAACCAAGTCACCTTTGCATTAATAAAGAAATTTGCCATTTTCCTAATAAAGGGATTTTTGACATTTGAACCACTAACACAAAAGTTCGAAAAAAAGACTGAAATAACAGTTTTCTCTAAAATTTTATTGGGTAACTTAAACAATTAATAATCCGTATTTCTACCGCGAACACTAACAACACAAGAACATCGGTTTGGCATACTCAAAATGAGTTCATCCAAATCACGCTGTGGAATGGCCGCCCATGTTCGTTGCAACAACAAAAAAAGGTCTTCTTGCGACTGGATACCCTCCATATTCGGCAGAGCTCTTCTCTGTAGCATATCCCATGCATGCTCAATCAGGTTCAAGTCTGGCGACTGAGCAGGCCAGGGCAGGACATTGATGTTAGCTGCGGCGAGAGTCTGTCTTACAACTCTTGCGGTGTGCGGTCGTGCATTATCATGCATTAACTGAAATAAGGGACCGATTTGCACTTGTAGAGGAACGATGACGTCCGATACAATCGTCTCAGCATAAATTTGAGCGTTGAGGTTGCCTCTGATCCAAATCAACTCAGTTCTTCCGCCGATCCAAATACCCGCCCATACCATGATGGTTCCACCACTATAAGGATGGACTTCCTGGCAGGATTTTAATCGCTGTTGGCGTCCAGGGGTTCTCCAGTGTCGTATACGTCTTGTATCCGGTCTCATACCAAAACGAGACTCATCAGAAAAGCACACGAAACGCCATTGTTCTTCTGCCCAATTTCTGTGTTCAAGAGCCCATTGATATCGAATCCTACGATTGTGCATTGCTATAGGTGGTACCCGTAGCGGTCTTCGGGAATGAAGGTTCACTTCATGCAAGCGGTTTCTGACTGTTTGGTCGCTAATTAAGTTCCCTGAAGAGTGATGAAGCCTCACGGCTAACATCATGGCGGTTATTGTTGGAGCTCTTCGAGTTAAGATTTGAATGTATCGGTCTTGTCTCCGTGTGGTGCAGCGATACCGTCCTCCATGGCGCTCAGCCACGGTACCAGTGCTTCGGTATCGTGTCCAAAGTCGACTGATAACACTCTGACTTGTATTCAGAGCTAAAGCCACAGTACGTTGCCGGGAACCAGCTTCTATCATTCCCACGGCTCTGAGCATTTCTTCCCTGCTTAAATGACGTCGCCGCTCCATAATAACGTTGGTTTTAATCAGTAGTAGGGAAACAGTAGCACTAATAATGTCTTCAATGCGTTGTATGTTTTTATAGGGAAAATATTGACAGCTGATTTTCATCTTTTACTCGAATTTGATTCACAGTTCCTGATTCAAATTATGAAATGCACCAAAAAGGATCCATATAAATTTATAAAATCATAAATTTATTACAAAGCCACATCTCAATCTCAAGAAATCCGCATAAAAATGCTTGATCCCTAGACACTTTTGATGTGTGTACTTATAGACAGTGGTGGCCACAAAATTAGAAACACTTCTTATGAATAAAGAAAGTATAACTTCAACATACAAAAGTTCGTAAAAAATATACACATTTAATAATTAATAATCATGCAATAATATAACCACTCAAATCATAAACTCATTAAATGCATTACATATAAAACATATAGGGCCTTATTCATTATCCATCTTGTTGGATCCAGCATGCGGGACAGCGATTTACACGTAAAAGAGATCCTGTATCTCCATCTCTTTTACGTGTATAGCGCTGTCCCGCATGCTGGATCCAGCAAGATGGATAATGAATAAGGTCCTTATCTTACTTTTAATTACAAAATGAGTCTTACACATGTAGGAGTTTATTTTCTGTTACTGGCCGCTTAGACGCCTAATTAGAAACATTTAAAAAAATATCCATAGCTCGTTCTTTTTAAAAATTGTAGAATAACATTTCATTGTTGGCTTTTTTTATTATTTTGGCAGCAATTCAAAATTTAATCTGAATTTTGTTTTGTTGAAATTGTGCAAAAATAAATAAAACTAGTTTTAACGGGTTAATGCACGAAACTTTATTAATTTATTGACGTTTCGCAGCCTTTTCAGGTCTGCATCGTCAGAATACTGATTTTTTATTTAAGTTTGTCGAACTACCTTCGAAAGACTTCGGTTATTTCATAGGAAGATTTTGAAAATTTTATTGTCTATGTATGAATTTATTTGTTAATTTAGTTAATAAAGTACTTTATTTAAAAATCTTTTTTTTTAATTTTGAGTTTATTTATTTGACCCTAACTACCATTATTAACCCGTTAAAACTAGTTTTATTGAATGAGTGACGTGCGTAAAAACCTAAGAAACAAATAGACAAATAATAGTTTACATATAGATCATTAGTAGGCGTACAGAAGAATAGCTGAGCATTTTAATAATTCTGTTAAGAAAGTTGTTAATGCAATTGATCAATTTAAAACACATGGAACTGTTGAAAATGTTCTTAGAAAGGCTCCGCCAAGAAAAACCTCTCCCAGAGAAGATACGTTAATCGTTCGCGTTGCTAGAAAAGACCCAAGTAAAGGCTCCAACCATATTAAAAATAAAGTTCTTTCGCCTGATAACCCGAGAAACATCTCGTCAAGACTGATGCCCTGAAGATTAGTGGAAGCTAAATTTTTTGGAAGAATCGCTCCAAGCGGCTATTATTCGCTAAAAATATGTTAATTGGACGGTACGATAATGGAAAAAAGTGTTATTAATAGAATAAAATAGAAAAATAAATAAGGTAAATTCCGATGGAAAGCACTATGTTAGACGTCCTGTACACAATGTTTTTAATTATAAATACACATGGAGTATAGTCAAGCACTGTGGCGGTAACATTAAAGCTTGATGTTGTTTTTCCGGATGTGGAGTCGAACCCGTTTGGAAGTTTGATGGTACATACAATGGATCAATGGCAATACAAAAATATCTTAGAATAAACAATGATTCCCTACTCGGACGATTATTTGCCTGTAATTTGGATCTGTCAGCATGACAATGACCCTAAACACACGGCCAATAGCTTCAAATGTTTCCTCAGCGAACTATATCCGTTTTAGACTGGCCAGCAAATATCCGGATTTAAACCCGATAGAAAAGCTCTGGTATATTGTTTAAAAGAAAGTCTCAAACAAACGTAACACCAGCCAAAACGAACTATATGAAGCATTTGTTGAAGCATGGAATTCAATTACCCTAGAAAAATGTATGAAATTGATTGAATCAATGCCACGTCGTTGCATTGCTGTTATTGGAAATAAGGGATACGCCACTAAATATTAATTATAACTATTGGTAGGCTGTAGATAGTTGCTATTTCGTAAATAACAATACTAATTACCAATACTTAAAAACATGTTTTTTTATACTTTTTTTGTTGTTGTTTCTAATTAGTTGACCATTATTTTTCATACCAAAACTGATTTAAATAATGGAACTGCACTTGTGTAATGTGATTTATATTGTTTTTCTTATAAATAATAAATCGTTGGACATATTGTTGTCCCTATTTATTGTTTAATTTCAAAATAAAAACGATTGCGGTGAAGTATCTTACATAATGTCAAGGACCGTTGGTAGTGTTTCTAATTATACGACCACCACTGTATGTATCAAATATGATTTATTATATCCGTTACCCTTGTCGATACTAATATTATAAAGAGGAAAGATTTGTTTTTTTTGTATTGCATAGGCTCCGAAACTACCGTACCGATTTGAACAATTCTTTCTCACATTTAGAATCCTACGTTATCCATGATGAACATAGGCTATAGATTATTTTCAAAAAAGTTAGGGTTCCGTATGAAAACTTAGATAATGTAACCCAATGTGTAAAGAAATACCAAAAACATTACCTTATATCGCGTACGCTGCGGAAGTCATAGAGCAAAGTGATGGAATAAAGTTTTATAGAGGACATCAACATCTAAAACAAAAGTTCGCAATAATCGAAATTAGTACACTATTTTCTGAGATTAGCGCGTTCAACCAAAAAAACTAACAAACTCTCCAGTTTTATGATATAAGTAATTATATCATATTTTCACGAAAGGTTTATAATTATAAATTAATTTATTAATTCACTTCCTGAGGGTATCAAAAAAGCTCGTTCGCTTAATTCCTTTAGCGATCAAGTTAAAAGTTATTTCCTTTCTTTATCTTAAATTCATTTAGTATCCTATTTCTTTGCTTCTCTTATATTTATGTAAGTATAGCTCCTGTATCTACTTTTGCACCCCTCTATATTTCTCTATTATTATTCCATTTCTACCATAGGTTGCCTGGAAGAGATTGCTGTTTAGCAATAAGGCCGCCTATTGTACTCTTTCTTCTGTTTTATTTGTTTTTTATCTTGTGTCCTTTGTTGTGTGCAATAAAGAATATCTATTATTATTATTATAATATGAAGAAAGTCATAATACAAGCCTGAGAACAAAAACTATGGACTACACTACAGCTCTACACCGATGCGAAGCGAGGGCTGGCCACTAGTATTAAACAAGCCTTACAATGGTTATTTTGAGGCTAATGGTATGAGTTATGGGAATTTTATATTGTTGTAATCTAAAAGAAACAACACCAGTCGAGATCAAAGCATAACTGATTATTATGTAAAGTACCCACTTATTATACAAGATATTTACTTGTCAATATTAATAATCAAATATACAATATAACCCATATATATTACTTTGTGATAATTCCTAAAAGGTTGGGCCCGGGTTCGCCATCGCATCGGCTATGTGGTGTAGAGACTACGCTCCCGACAAACGAGTCATATGCGTCGAGGGTGATTCAGCATTTGGATTTTCCGGTACATTTATATTATTTATTGTATCTAGTAATTGTAAATTCTTTATATCCAAGAGAAAATTGAGAAAAAAAAGTTTCACAGTAAAGAATACACACCTTGAAATGGATCTGGCAACGATAGTAAATACCCTCAAAATGTGTCCTTATTAAAGAATGCTTGAACACCATCCAAGCACTTCATGGTTCAGTCACAGAGCTCTGTCAAAAAATTCAAAGAAAATACTTGCGTAGAATGTCGGTTTTCCGACAGGTATCTAATCAATGTTTGTTAATTTAACGCATTTGAAGTAACTTTTGTTCTAATACTTTATACTTATTTAATAGAAAATATTTGTGATATTCAAATGCATGGTCGGTTATATAGTTGTCTCGCGGTCCGTACCTACCATATTACTAACAGCGCATTCAGTTTCTCGCGTAGAGTCAAAGATATAAAGTCAAAGGTATAATCTTCCGCCTATAGCAATAAGTCGTAAAATTTTACGAGCTTGCATTTGGAACTGTCAGAACCGTCACACATAAGTAAATTAAGACCTTATTTGATTATGCATTAATGGTGATTGCATGTTCAAATAATGCCTTATATTGTTGTTGACTCCACGACCATCTTACGGAGCTCCATGGAACGTTTAATATACCTTTTGGACAGGTTTCGGCCACGATTTTTTCGTGATGTTGTATCTAGGGTATTGAATATCGTTGGTCAATAGATCTTTCGCGATTGATCGTAATTTTCTCTAATTTATCTTAAACCTTATGTAATTTTTTTTTATTTTGATATTTGCTATGCTTTGAGTTCGTCATATCAATAGTACGAGTAGTATTAAAGTAAGCGAACCATAGTTAGCACGCCTTGTTGCAATCTGAGTAATACAGATCAAGATTTAAAATTGGGTATGAAAACTATATTTTATAATACGGTTTCCAATTTGATTGAGAGACTACGGTTTTCAATAAAAAAATCTTTTACGCATCCTCTCCATTAGATCATGTACAATGAAGTCTTCAGAAAAAGGCAAATCTTTTAAACTCATATTTTTCCATAAATATTTCGCAGGTATGGAAATAGAAACAATGTTCCGCTACAAGTTGCCAGTGATTATCGTTATAGTGAACAACAACGGTATCTACGGTGGATTCGACAAGGAAACCATGCAGGATCTGCAGTCGAGCGGCGATCCTACTCAGTGGTAATTAATCCTTCGGAGTTTTCTTTATATTCTTGTGAATGGGCTTCATCACAGATCAAGCGGTGTAATAGGGTATTTGACAAGTTATAGAAAACGATCTAACGTTATTTACTAATGTTTATGGTATCCATTAAAAGAGGATATTTCAAATTCTGCTGTGTAATTTAGTAAAAAAAAAACTAAATAAAAAAATCAGTTTTCAAGTTGCCTCGAAAACGTTTCTGTGGACATTATGGAGTCTCACTAGCGTGTGACGTCACACGACTGTTATTAAAACGTCAAACGATACAATGTAATATCACTTTGACCGGAAGTTTTTTTGATACTGTCAAATAGCCTGTTGGTTCAGTTTTTCAACTGCGTATATGCAAAAAGTACTTCTGTATTATTATTTTTAGAGTATACCTACGAGATGATGGTTGGATTCCAGACGCCTTGATACGTTCCTGTTAATTTTGTTACCGGAGCATTGTAGTATAACATTGTTTTTTTATATAAATATAGTCTTACCTTATGCTATGGGTAGAAGTTAAGAAAACTGGAGAAAGAAAAATGGAGGCATCCATTAGATCCACTCAGTATATTATTATGTGGTGTCTTTAAGGAACCACATTTTAGCTATTAACGGGATTGTTACCATGAACCTTGTTTTTTATGAGTCTCCGATTTCGGCACTGTTGCAAGCGCCATGATCACGAAGTAACTGAAGTATAATAATCATAATAATAATATGCATAAAACATATGAATGTCTAGATAGTCTATGTACGGGACGCCGGGCTGTCGCAGTAGCGGACAGTTACCGACTCGTACTGAGGGGGTGGAGGAAGTTACACGCAGGAGTCTTGACTGTAGTGGACTGTAGTTTCGGCGAATAAAACCCCTGGTGTTCGGTATTGAAGAAATCGGTGGGCGCTGATAATGGATGGCCGGTGAGAGGAGGCTTCAGGTCCAGAGTGAACCGCTTGGTTGTTTCTTCCTGTTCCTTAGGGTAGGAGCGCCTGTCGCTGAATGCATGTCGGGGCATGTTCCGACTCGAATTTTATATGCTAGGACTGAGCTGGCCAGCGATCCATTACCTCACCCACGCTATACTTTATTTTTCATTTTCTCAAGATTTACAATAGTGCGAGCTTAAAACTAATTGTACATACATCGGGCATACATTTGGGCATATTTTTAACATAGTTATGTGTCCGTAAACACGATATTTTAGGTGTGGCGCGCAAAAAATAGGTCTCCGCAATATTTATACTTTCCCCCTCCATAGGGCTTCGCCCTGCCACGGGGCTTCGCTGCCCCACCCGCGCGCTCCGGGCGCGCCGGGTGGGGAGCGCGACATGTCTCAGAAAACGGTTCTATACAAACATGTTTTTCTCCTACACAGTACATTTTTACACTTATTGATGTGATACCTATTTATTTACGTAGCCCTACGTGTTACCTATCTAATAAAACAAGTTTCTTACAAGAATATTAATAAACAACAGCTGTACGGCCCTATAAAGTTTATAAATTAAAAAGTCTTAAAAAACCTACTTATACTCGCTTAATGTCTAATTATTATACACCATTTTAAAGAAGAAGTAAAAATACATAAAATGACATCATTATTATAACAATTATACCTATATCCTATTGACTATTCATAAAAAACTATTCCCGATATTTTCCTTAATTACGCTTAAACTACTAACACGATTCATATAAAACTTCGATATATTATTCCTATAACTACCTACTATCTAATAAGACATAAAATAAATCAATCAAAACATAAAACATACTATTATCGAAGATTGTCAACTCAGGCAAAATCCTATAAGACGTGTGACAAGGACAACCTATTGTCTCCGTCCCTCCTATAGGTCGGAACTATCAGTATTCTGACTAGTTTCCCCGCGCCACCGCTTGGCGTCGTGGCGATCGTTTAGATAAAGTCTTATAAGATTATTGGAGAGAACGGGGCGGAATATCGCTCTGAACTATCAATTTTACAATGGTTTACTATGGGCAGAGCTATCTATTGTTGCGATATCCGACTCATTCTAATAAGACAACAAGGGAATGATATTTTTAATGCGTATACAACCGATTCATATGAAATTATAGATACATTTTTATACATTGCTCTCGTATCGTAGTGAGTTCATTTTCTTTCGCTTCGGTCGTCGCGTACATACTCCCGCCGTGCAGCGTCGGTTGACTCGTCGCTGCATCCATCTTCCGTGGGAGTGGCGGCCGATGCGAATATCACCAGTCGCTTGGTCGGTCTGCGTAGCACTCCTCCGGCTGTCTTCAGATCGACGACTCGTACTGTGCCGTCTCGCCCGGGAAAAGTGGCGATGACGACTCCCTTGGGCCACGTGTTGCGTGGCAGGTTGCTGTCGGCGATGAGCACGATGTCCCCGATGGCGATGGTCTTCCCGGTCCCGTGGGGCTCCCGCCGGTGTTGCAGCTCGGGTAGGTACTCTCGTACCCAGCGCGCCCAGAAGTGGTCGGCGAGGCGCTGTGCTGCTCTCCAGTGCGGGCGGCCTATCAGGTCGCTCTCGTCGAACTCGCCCGGCAGTGGGACGCGCGCTGAACCTCCCAGCAGAAAGTGGTTGGGAGTGATGGCTTCGTCGTCTTCATGGTGCACGGACACGTGGGTGAGAGGCCGGCTGTTCACGGTGTATTCGGCCTCGGCGAGTAGCGTCGTAAGTACCTCTTCGGGCGGACTTCTTTCTTGCAAAACCGCACTTAGCGCGATTTTGACGGACTTCACGAGGCGTTCCCACGCCCCGCCCATGAATGGTGCTCCCGGCGGTATGTACCTCCACCGGATACTGCGGATGCTTGCTTCTTCGCTCGTTGCCTGCTGCACTGCCTTCTTCATTTCGTTTTCTGCGCCGTGGAAGTTGGTCCCGTTGTCCGACCAAATTTCGGTAGGGCACCCGCGGCGCGCTATCATGCGCCGTAGTGCGTGTATGGCGGAGTCCGTCGATAGTGAGGCGGCCAACTCGAGGTGCACGGCTCTCGTAGTAAGACATGTGAAGAGCGCGACGTAGCGTTTTTCTTGACGCCTGCCCACGGTGACTGTCAACGGCCCGAAATAATCCAATCCGGTGTACGTGAATGGCCGTCGGTGATGAGCGAGGCGCGTCGGCGGCAAATCTCCGGTAGGTGGCGACGGTGGCGCCGCCCTCCTTATGCGGCAGTTTATGCAACTGCTTATTATTCGTTTCGTGACGGGTCGAATGCGTAGAATCCAATAGTGTTGTCTGCACTCGTTGACTGTAGTTTCCACCCCGGCGTGGAGAAGGCTTCTATGTGTGTGTTCTATCCACAGTTGGGTGGCTCGATGGTTCCCGTCGAGTATCGCCGGTGTCTTCTGAGTTTCGGTTACTCCCGCCGCTGCGTTGACCCGGCTTCGTAGGTACAACACGCCGTCGTTGACTATTAGCGAAAGTGGGCGGAGTCGACTGTTCGTAGCGATGGTGGCGCCCCCTCGCAGTTGTTTCAACTCGTCTTGAAATGCGTCGTGTTGTATTACGCGAACTATTATTTTCTCTGCGCGTTCGATGTATCTTCGGTCGATTGCGATGAATTTTCTTTCTTGAACGGTTGGCGTCGTTTTCTTCTTATGTGTCGGCGCCGATTTTTGATTTTTCTTCCAGTCGGGTTCCTTTTCGTTTTTCTTTCTTCTGTAGTTAATTCGGTCGGTTTTCGCTTGGCAGAGGTCGATGAACTGTAGTACTCTTGCCGTAGTCCGAATTAACTTGTCCCAGCGCGAAAATCGAGTGACGTCCGGTGCAGCTTCGGATATTGACGGCGCTTTCTTCGTGCTTATGTGGTGCACGCGTTCTTCCCCGGTGACTTCGGTTGCGGTTGCAGTTTCGGCGGGCCATTCTTCTTGTTTGTTTCGTAGAAACGGAGGCCCGGTGAACCATCTGTGGTAGCCGTAGAAGTCGTGCGGTGATATTCTTGTGGCGTCGTCTGCTGTGTTGAGCTTCGTGGGCACCCATCGCCACTCGTTGATGGTGCTGAGTTCTTCGATGGCGGCTATGCGATGCGCGACGAATGGCTTGAATGAGCGCGATCCCGTTCGCACCCAAGACAATACTGTTTTGCTGTCTGTCCAAAATGTCTTCGATTCTGGTTTTCTTGAGTGCTCTTCTATCACGGTGGCGGCCATTCTTGCTCCCAGGACTGCGGCTTGTAGCTCGAGGCGCGGTATCGACGTGACTTTGAGTGGAGCCACGCGTGCTTTCGCCGTGATGAGTGTCACGTCGACTTGACCTCCCGGCGACTCGGCCCGCCAGTAGAGTGCGGCGGCGTACGTGGTGGCGCTGGCGTCCACGAAGACGTGCAGCTGAAGTGAAGTGGCTTCGCTGTATCCTATGTAGGCTCGTGGTACTTTGACGCCTCGTAGGTCCTTCATGTGTTGTAGCCAGGTCGTCCACTGCTCTGCGAGGTCGGTGTCGATTTTCTTGTCCCATTCTGTGCCGCGTCGCCAAATTTCTTGTATGATCTGTTTTCCCCTGACTGTGACTGGTGATGCAAGTCCCATTGGATCGTAGATTGACATCACAATCTTCAAAACTTCTCTCTTCGTGGGTGCCTTATTTGCAAGTAGGTCCGATGGGATGCGCGCCAACTCGAGATTGAACCCCAATTCGTCCGATTGCGGGTTCCACATGAGTCCGAGTACTTTTTCTATTCTTGATCCGTCGTTGAGTGTTATTGGTTGTTGAACGCGTAGCGGTCCCTCGGTGAGTGCTTGCCTTATTCGATGCGAGTTCGACACCCAGTTGCGTAAGTCGAAATTTCCGTCGGCGTGTATTTTTCTTACTTGCGTCGACACTTCTATGGCTTCTTGTTCCGTTGTAAAGCTGTCTAGGTAGTCATCCATGTAGTGCGCTTGTACTATGGCGTTGACGGCGGTCGGTTGCGTTTCTTGATATCGCTCGGCGTTCTTGTTCTTGACGAAAATAGCGGCGGCTGGTGAACACGTAGCGCCGA